ATGTATATTGTTTTCATTAGCTCGTGCAAACACCTTTAGATGAATGGTTGTGATAGGTGTTTCACATTTGGACAAACTATACTGTCAGTAAAGGGAAGTAAATATTGGAATAGCTTACCAATGCACTAAGGGGGTGTCCTACATGTTCCACCTTCAAGACACATCTGACACTGGCTCAAGTCAAACCAGATCTGTCATCACTTCAAAAGCCCAATTCATGCTTCTGCCTCGAAGCAACAGCGTAGGTACTCACACTGCAGTTACACAGGAGAAATGCTAGTGGCGTTGGAGTTAATGAACATGTTAAGAGAGGCAGATTTTAACTTACACAAAAAGCCCTCTCAATTAAAACACTAACAACTTTATCTGACTTTCCTTCTAATATTAAACCTTGAACCCACGTACCTGCACAGTACTTCAGTGATAAAGACCACAGGCTATATACTGTATGGTTGCAATGTTAACTCTATTGTTCTAATTTTAAAATGGCAAGTATCCGAACCTCCCACTGTTTCATATTGACTTATGTGAGATTAAGCCAGAATGCTCACACATAGTGTAAAAACTAATGTTAGCGTGTTTTACATTCATGTGGCATGCAACAGCTGCATCAGGAAATGTCATGCAGACTGGCACCCGACCACAGATCCGATACCAGGCCATGAAGCAGAATAACAGGTATGTAATTTTACTGCATCTCTCAACCTTGAGAGGCAGCTGAGAATCTATGTCACTGGGCTGAAAGCTTTTCACTTGTGGATGAACCACAGTGGTTCTGACCAATCAGCACAGAGGGAGTGATCACCAACAATACAGGCGGCTACTAAAGAGGTTAGTGTAGTTCTTGCAATAACATCAGTTATATCAGAACTGAAAAACACTGAAGGCTTTTCTCTGTGGTGAAGGTGTTTTGCTCTGAGATTGGGATCGATGATAGTTTATCCAGTCAGCTGCCAAGTATTTTCTGAAAGCACCTGTGTCTAAACAGTTTTCCACTGAAGGCTATTCAAATGGTTCAGGCTTTGCATCTGACACATCAGGTTACTCTTACACAGTTTTCAGACATGGAAATGTCCGCACATTTTCCAGAGTCGTCCTTTCACACATGAACAATGCAGTCAGAGGTTGTCCGAGTCAGACGTGTTCTGAAATATCGGGGAAATCTCCTGTGTTCAGGTGAGGGGTGGGATGTGGGCAGAGCAGTGAATTCTGCTGTGGAGATCACATGTTTTTGTTTACAGCACATAGTCACCAGCATCAAACCTCATCACTAAAAGCTCTTTCCGGGTTGACATGTTTGTTGGCTTCTTCTATTTCAGTTTTGCATCCATCGTGTGTTCGAAACATCAACACACCCACTTGTTTGCTGTGAGTTCTCAACAATATTCTGCCTTATTCTCACACAGGCTCGCATGGACATTTTCTACAGTTCTTACTAGAACAACTCAGAACAATGTCTGTAGCAAATGACTTGGATATTTGCATTCTCAAATACAGCCCCTCTGGATCATTTCAGGAGATTATCCAGAGTTAAATTACTCAGAGTTAGTTAAAGAAGTAATGAGGGTCTCTCCTCATTACTCTCTGTTACATCCAACACCAGGACACTGATTTTAAACTAATGTAAACGTTTAATATGCAAAGTAATCAGTACGTCATTGCCTGCTTAGCTACTTAATCTGTGTGGGCTCCTGTTGTTTTTGCTGCTGCGAGTTGGCTGAGATGAGAAAAAAACATTAAGGAGAATTTGAGAGAGCTTGAGAAAGGTGAGAAAACAAAAGCTCTGCCATGTGTTGTAATATTTGAATTCCTTAAAGGGCTTAATCATTTCTGTCCTCCTTGATGATGTTATGTTTCCTAAAACTTTATATTCGTCCTCCCTTCCTCCTCCTGGTTCATGTTTCATGTCTTTGTTTTTGTATCCAGGAGTAAATTTCCACCTCTTTGAGTCTTTGACTATATCAGCCACCCCCCCAGTCCTGACGTGAAGTTAGCAGTGACGAGGTCCACAGCATTTTAAATCTAAAACACAGGAGAAACCCAACATGGCTGCAGTTTCCGCAATTCTCCAATAACACAAGATTGAGTGATATGCTTCCTAACAGGGTTAAAATTCAGAGGAATAATGAGGTTGCCTGCAGCGCAGCTCCACGAAATACGTTTGTGAAATAGTGTTCATCAGCAACTATTAGTCTCAATAAAGCAAGTTGGTAAAAATTTTTACTTAAATCAAGTTCAGTCTAGAGCCACTAAGACTAGTCTTGTCTGTAAGAATGTACACCACCTGGACGCTGCCAACTATTTACATGCTTAATAACATGTCTCACTTTGACTCCCGTCATATTTTGTCAATACGCGCTTCAAAGCCAGGAAATCTCACTGTCCATGTGAGAATGGTTTTGGGAAGGCCTCAGGGTCAGTAAAACAGCAACAGCCAGGACTGTGGGAATGTGAAGCTTTCTGCAAACAAAGTCCAGGATACCCCTCATCTCTCAGTCTCCGAGGCCTTGCAGCAATAATCACAGCCAGAAAACAGTATTTCATCACACGGATCCATGTGAACTGAAACGGTGCCATTCTTGTCTCAGTGTTGGAGAAATTTTTATACTTGTTTTGTCGCACTCGACCGATTATTATGCCTCAACCATAGAGATGGAGGAGCATGTCTCACTCTACATTAATTGCAGCATCAACTGTAGCTGCTCAGTGTGTGGGTGGTAAACTGCCTCTTGTGTTTTATAAATCCAGAACGATTTCCGACAAGCGACCAAGACGTCTTATATATTAGAAACCACTAAATGAACATCCTCATATACAAAATGTCCATACCTGCATATTATTTATCTAGCTCATCTTTTCTACAGCCTGGCTTTTTTAATGGCTGCGGCATCATGGGTAACAGCTGAGCTCACATCTGTAATCACCAGTCCCTCACCATGTACATCATTCATCGTGTCTCCTTTGTCCAGACAACAGACCAAGACGTTCAGTTTCCTTTCTCGTAAGAAATCACGTGGAAATCTGGAACTTTGAAATGTTTTTCTTTTTAAAGTGTGAAATCATCAGAGCTGAATCAATTGGTTGTAAAATCTGTGACAGGATGCAAGGTTATCAATGACTGGCCCCTGTCCAGAACAACAGTGCGACATGTTGACATGAAATGCAGCGCAGATTAACGAATGTGTTAATATTCCACATCAACGCAGCAACGGTCCTCAAACTTTAACTTGGGTTTACTCCAGAAGGTTTTCTTTCAACAGAAATCAGTTGTGGTCACTTAAAAGCCCTACTACTGCTGCATGATCTTATTATGAAGGTTCACAGGCCTTCAAGATGATAGATGAGCTTTAAAAACATTAAAAGGTTTATCAAGCCAACTGTGAAACAAGAAGCTAAACTGAACAAGCTGAATGCCAGAAAACAAAGTGGATCTTCTCCAATGACTTTAAATCAAATAAAACAACTCATTTTCAGTGACTGAACCAATTTCTTTTATTATCTCCTCTAAGGACATGAAATACATAAATTGCACCTTGTAAGAGTCAGAATAAGAGTTGACATCAAGCAATAACAATTATAGTCTATGTATTAAACCCTTTTTCATTTTGATGAATAGTCACCACTAGTTTCTTATTATCTTTAAGTAAAGTGCATTCTCAGAGCCGATAGAAACCATCATTTCAAACTTCAACAAAGTGCAGCACACATATCTTGTAAAGGTTACAAACTGTGCAGACTATTTTATACACAACTGCCACCAAAAGCTATTTTGAAAGAGCAAAGTGTAGCTGTATTTGTAATTTGATAAGTAAATTGAAAAGTATCTGTCTATTGCCTGTGTGTAAATGGGTGGATTCTGTGGATCACTGTCTCCTTTAGACCAAACTCAAACCTGAGAGGTAAAGTGTCATTAACAAACAATACGATGGAGAAGCAGTTGTGTTCTCCATGAGAGGAAACAAGCACCAAAGTCGAAAATCCATTACAAACAGTGATATAGCTTGAAGTGACACACTTTGTGGCAAAGTATGTCGTCCGACCTTCCTTCATCACCCTCCACCTTACCTGGGTTTAACACCACGTTAGAGAAATGTGTTGAATTTATGTTATATTCAACTGACTTCCAGGCTAACAGGACAGCACAGGCTAAACACATCATATAAAGTCAGTGACCATTTGATTCAAATCAGTAAAAGCAGAATAATGAGACTCCCCCCCCCCAGTAAAACAATACAACCAACACCACCACAGGCAGAAAGCCTTCAATATGGGGAAGGTGGGTTTTTTAGTGCTGTGGCATTAGTTTCAACAGTGTGTGCTTATTGAAGTGGTCAATCCAAATGCTTCTTCAACTAGAACAAAGCTTACTATTTGCAGACAAGGAAAACGTTGCTAAATCAGGTTGTTTTCCTGATTGTCAAGTCTTTCGACAGCACACAAGCAGTGGTGATTCTATTTTATTCTGGAGCTATAGAAGAACTGAGACACAAATTAACTTTACATGGGGCCACCTCGCACACGAGCCTCTGTGCACCGAACAGTGGGAACTGAGGAGAATTCACTTGCTAACTCGCGCCTGGACTTTAATTTCCCGAACTGTGGCCAAACAGAAACACAAGTCTTTTTGTTTTAAATCTAAATATTTCGTGCACGTTGAACTGCTAACGCTCTGTAGCTTGTGGTCGAGTTTGTGGAGTAAGTTTTAAAGGGCTCGCTGTTACAAATCTCAGTGATCGGATCCGGGTAAACAAACCGCGCACGTTTTAATTCACGCAGACGAACATTAGCACGGGACGCGTTCGGCTAAAGACATTTAAAAGAGCCGACTTCAACTTCTTCACACATCGTGCAACCAGCTCCACATCAGCGTTAGCAATGCTAACTCGGCTAGCCAACGAGCTACGTGCTAGCTGGCTAATGCTAGGCCCAATTCCCACAAGTCCACTGATCTGTGATGTTTCAAGCTTATGATGTTACCCCCTGTTTTACTCTGTGTTTACCTTGGAGATGTGAAGCAGGACCGGGGTGGCGGGCCTCCCCCAGGCGAGGGCTCCTCTGGGTCGTGTATCCAAACCTGTATTGAGCTAAATGGGGCTAACACTGGGGGGCTCCGGTGGGATACAACACACTCCTGCCTCGTCTCTCGGTTCCCTCCCTGCAGCGGCGAGCGCTCGCACCGGGTTGCAACCAAGCTACAGTGTTAGCAACCTCTGCTAACTAGCCTCTGCGAGCCCAGTTCGGGTAATGCTAACGGGCTAGCAGCTGAAAACATAAAGTAGAGCTAACGTGAGCCGCTCCGTGAAACTGACGCCGGTGTCCGTCCGTCCTGTGACTCCGGTCCTTGACTGGGAAACGCGTGGTGACCTCCGACCATTACCACCGGGGGAACACATCCACAGAGACCAGATTTGTGCCGTTCACAGGCTGCTCGACACCCGCCAGCTCCGCTCGTCTCCTGACCGACTCTCCACCGACTCGAGTCGCAGCTTGATGACGACAGGGTTTTGTTTGCGAGTGGGCGCTCAAATGTGACGCTCAAACATGCGCCCAGGTGTATTGAGAGAATGAAACTGAAATAAATATGATAAAAAAAACATTTTAGAGAAATTAATTGCATAGACCGACTATTTGTTGAGTTATTGTATATTAATAATAATTATTTGTTATTTTCATGTATTTAAATTTTTGGTTTATTTCATTCATCCACCAAACTAAACTATTTAAATGCAAACACAGAATCTTAGATCTAGAATGAAAAGGAGCAGAGGAAACTATAACTTCATATAATCTGTCCCTCCTTAAAAAGTCATGCACCTGCAGGTCAAGAACTCAGATCATGTTCACATCCAACATCAGAATGAGGGAAATGATGCAACAACAGTCTGACCTGTTGTAATAAGTATCACAAGTGTGGATTCTCTGCCCAATGAGCACTTTAGGTTCTTAAAGTTCATTGAGCTGTTTAAGCTTCTGAACTTTCTCCATAATATGATTTTGAATGTAAAAGCATTTTAAACTCTGATAGTTGTGTTCTTATAACAAACTGGATACTCCCTCCAATGCTCATATGCTTATAATGCTTTATTTATATTTGTACATTTCAGTGTTTTATATAAGCCAAACTATGCCTCACAGATATAATGCAACATATAAATGATTGATACATACATAATGATTTTTTTTAAATGTAGACCTTATCAGTGACGTCTTCCATCTCCATTCACACGTTTAACTGTTTATAATGATAAATGGAAACTCCAAATATATTTTTGTCAATAAAAATTAGAGGGAAAAATGTTTTATAATAACAGGGGTGCACTCCTGAGCGAAGATCCTGCCAGTCAAAAAAAACAACCATAATTCTTTTCAGCATATTGAGTCATATTTACCCACAGAAAAAAATAAGAAGGAAAGGTAAAAAGAAAGGAATGGTGGAGTAGTGACCTGCTGTTGCTGCTGCTGCTGATGATGATGATGATGATGTCACTCCTACTGTGCCAGCTATGGTTAGCTTTGGCTCACAGTGATTTTCATGCCCTGTATCTGGATCCTCCAGGGAAAGTCTGAAACCCTGAGATATCACCAAGCACCATACATGTGATCCTGGGAGGTGTGGAATTGAGGCTGGCACCCAGTCAATGAAAACTGAAAAGCAGACCCTGCAAACAAAGGGTGACTATAAAAACCCTCACTTTGTTATTAAATGCACTCACAGAACGGGGTTGAAAGCAGCTGTGGCTGTGTGTGTGTTTATGGAAATTGCTGCTGAAAGTGACGCTGCGCAAAAATCCGAACCCTTGTCTGAAATTATCTGTAAGTGTGATTTCTCGACCGGCTGTTTCAATTGTTTTCTCTGTGAAACTGAAGACTAAAAATAAACTGGATAAATATACTGGATGTATCTGAGAGTTGTGTGTGTTGATGTCAGGGCTGGAGCCATAGAGATCATATCTTCATATTTACAAAAGCTCACAGATTAATACATTTGGATTTTTTTCAACTCTTTTTTTCAATCTTTTTTTATTTGTTTGTATGTTTTATTCATATATACCAGTTTAATGACCAATGGTTTTTTTTTTAAACCTCCTGGTTGCTTATAGCTGTTTTGTGTCATCCACTCAAGTTGGAATTAAAATATGTTAAACAGAAAATCTCTTGACCGGAAAGTTATCAAAGCACCAAGTATAAAATATATTGGTATTTACATGGTAAAATGGAACAAACTAATTTTCTCTAAAAGAAAATATGAGTTTGTTAATTTAAAGTTGATTGAATTTAATATGTAGATTTTTAGCTAAAACTTTAGATGACTTGAGAACATACATGATGCACGTCAGGGAAACACTTTTCTTAGAGTGAAGCAGCATGATTTAGAGTGTGCCTTTAAAAATAATAAGAATAAATTGTTATTAACAACTTCTTAAAAAACCTCCTTGAAATGCAGAGAAGATGAATTCCAGTAGCCCTAGTATCAAATGTTTAACAACCGGTGCGAGTGCCAATCTTTCATAAGAGGCAGGGAAAAGTTTCACACGCTTCTAAATTGCTCATCACAACTAGAGAGAGAATCAAACTCACAACAATTGGGAAGTCTGTCATTATGGCACCAACACACACACTCTCTCGCTCTCACACATACACACACACACACACAGATCCTCTGGTGTATTACGTGTTTCCAATTCAAAGATTGCCCAAGAATGACTAAATGTGATGATTGGGACAGACGTACGATGCTCTGAAGACAAACAAACAGGGCTGCTAGCGGCCTGTGAAACTGATAGAGTGTGACAGCAATGCCCGCTGGGAAGACAGCGATTCAGTCAATAAAGCCTGGTAGATTCAGAGAGCGGTCACTGGAAATATGAACGTGACCAGAGGAATAACATCACATCATTTCCGTTTACAATGGCCAACATGCCTATGATGGATTCAACACACGTGTCTCATGTTATAGGCTCAGATTGCATGAGTCAGTGCATTTCCTGTTACTTAGTGTTTGCCAAAGTTGTTTGTTTCACTGATGGATTTACATTTAAACCAGTTTGGCTGGTATCTGTCGCAGTTTGCGGCCTTCGCACACATTCAACAAAACCTTCATGAAAAGATCATCACAGCCACAAGGATTCATCCCATCTGAACCAAATTTGAGAACATGTTACCAAGTTTGACTTTTTGCTCAAAATCTTCTGGTGGCACTGGAGGAAATAGATGATAACCAGTGTGACGACCCCCCGAGAGCCTCTCCCTGCATGAGCCTGATAGGAGGAGCTTGGTGGTCAGGTAGATTCACTTCATGGTCTGGCTGCACAATATTCATGGTGGCATGAGTCCAATTTTCTCCTTTCCTAACTCCTTACAGGTCCTCCTTCACACCTTTCCTTGACCTCGTGACTTTTTCCATCAAGGTCAAGAAACAGTGGTCTCCCCCGCAGCTTCCACTGTGTTTGGTTTTGGTTGTAATTTGATGTTGCAACGGAAATTTCTGAAATAGTTGAAACTAATGTGTGGTCTTTGTTCAGCATTGTGAAATCAGTCATTCGCGTATGTCATCAAAGGGGCATGAATGCCTGAACAAAATAACACAGCAACCAGGCAAATATGTTTTTAAATATTTCAGAAAAGTGGTGGAGTGACAGACGTCAACACATTTGACTTTGAAATTTTATTCAAAGCTTCATCAGCAAACAAAAAAACCCACTACAGCCTCATATGAAATATTTACAGAAGGCACTCCGTGAAAATAATATCCTCTGGTTTTCTGTATTCCCATATTTACAATGCAAGGTTCTGCAAAATCCTCACAGACACTTGTACTCACATTTAGATCAGTGTAACGACTGGGGACAAAAACATCTTAGAGCATCTGTAGAGACATTATATGTATTCAGTCTGATTCTATGGTGAGATCAAAATCTTATCAGTAGCAGCTTTTGGAAAGCTAATCCAGAGATTTATCAAAAAGACTCAAACACAGAAGGCGTCTGATTTCACACTCTGAGATCTCAATCAGCGTCTCACTAAAAACTCATTCCCCATAAAACTCATTCTGGGAACCAACTCTGCACAGGCATGAAGAAGGAGTGGCCCTCTCTGTCATGCATGCCTACAATCATCAACAGGATATTTCCCCTTAAAAGACCTGCAGCTGCAGGGAGTCACGCAGTGTAACACAATAAAGAGGCTGTGAGCCGCAGATAAGCCGTCAGCAGCCAGTGAGAGCAGTCGTGTCTGTGTGTGGGGTGACGAGGAGTGTTGACTTGCTGGGCTTGAAGACGGACGCATGCTCTTTAACAGTGTGAATCAGCTGGGGACAGTTTTTGGAACTGATTCTACGAGACAGAAAATGCGTTTCATTTCCCTGCTGTAGTACAATAAACAATAAAAACAGGCAAAGCACAGCAGAAGAAATGCATGATGGCAAAACACCGATCACTGACATGAAAAAAGAGCCACTGTTTAACACAAGAAGGTCCAACTGTTGCACGTTGCTCTCCACCGCAGACGATGAGATTAATCTTTCTTGCTGAAGGTTTTGCTTTCAAAACAAAAGTCATGATTGTGAGTGTCCCCAAAGTCTCATGATGATGTTTCCAGGCAGTTAAATCAACTCCTGTAGTGAGAAAATGTTGCTGGATTGTTGTAGAAAGGTCAGAACATCCAAGTTGCCAAAGCTGCACTGACGACTGTGTGTCCTTGTTTGGTGGGAGAGCATCTCTTTAACCTGGAGGCAAAAAGAGGAGACAGTCACAGACACGTAAAGAGGACAGCTCTCTATAAACTCTGCTGAGTGGTATCACTTTTTATTTTACTGAAACTGATCGTTGACTGTATGTAAAGATGACAATGTGTGTAGAGATGATGTTCCTCCACATCCTCCCACTGTCCAGAATAAAGCAGATACATACGCTGTATTGTGCATTTGGATAACTTGTACCAGTACACGGAGCCACGGCAGTGAGTTCATGCTCAGCCAATCACAGTCTCAGCTGTCAATTCAATTTTTGACTTTTTAGTTTGGCTCTTGTCCCGTCCACTAACATAGAGGAGGCAGGGTTTAGGACTTAAACTTCAAATCAAAATGTTTTGGCTTCACTTTCAGAGAGCAGTCACATCGTCCATCGTTACAAAGTCAGTGTACCTGACTGACAAAAAGGCCGATTTGTAGCAAAGCAACTAGCAGCTTTGAACTCGGTGGTAAAAGTTTTAACTGTGTCTGAAAATCATCATTCAAAAAGTGAATTTCTAATTTGGGTCTTTTTCAGAAAAACTCCTAGTTTTTCATGTTACAAGGGACTCGTGTGTATGTGCAGTATTTGTACAATTTCAACCTCTTCACTTTCAAACTAACATCGGGATCCATATCTGTTAATGTGACACGATCTCATGTGGCACGTCTCCTGTATGTTAAAGCACTTCCGGTTTATCGTTTTTAGACGTAGAAGCAGAATTCTTTCAAAAAAACAACTCCAGATGTTAGTGTAGTATTTCATCTACATCATTTACCTACAAGTTCATTCTCAGGTGTCTCAAACCTGCAAATTGCTCTTTAAAAAAAAGACAATTGTGTACTTTTTTCAGAGTGGTATTTTTGTTTTTTTGCTTTGGTTCATTTTCCTAAACACCATAAAACATCCATTTTCTTGTAAGAGTAGCTCAGTTTTGGTTTAACTTCCACAAAGTATCTTAAAACAAACTTTAGGCAGCTTCTAAATCATCGTATTCTTTCTTTCTTTCTATAATTTGATATTGTTATTAAGCTGCTGTGTATTTTCACACTTGCCGCAGCAGCAGCAGCATCACATGTTGCAACCACAGCTGCACTAACATCACATTCACTTCTGTTCGGACATGTCTTGTGTAACCCACTGTTCACACACTGCCTCCCTGCTGAAAGAAGGTACCATCTAACCCCTGCACAGCATTGAAGATAAAACCCAAAGTCTGCGTGTGTGCCTATGTGCGTGTGTGTGTGTGTGTGTGTGTGTGTGTGTGGGACGTTGGTCAACAGTTCATGGACCTTGACCTCTCCTTCCAAGCCCTTCCAGACTATCCCAGGGTTAAGTTCGTTGCGACACACTTCCATGCGTGCCTGGTGCAATCACTAACAGATGTTAATGTGTACGTGCTTTCAAACAATTCTGTGTGTAATGACGACAGGGTCACAGTTCATCAGTCAGAGCTCTAGTGAAACCAGCTGGTGCATCACAACAAACAGAAAGAAGGAAACTGTCTCTTATTACCAGTCCACCGTTGGTCTGTGTTGCGTTAGCACTGTTGTGTAACAAGCTGCGTGCAATAGGTTAGTTGTAATACCACAATGTTAACACCATAGTTTATTCATATATATTTGATTTGTAGAAGAATGTATTCACACCTGCAGGATTTTTTAAATAATAAAAAAGTTATTCATCAAATAAATCAAATAAAAATGACTTAGTTGGGTTTTGATATTTGAAATCAAACACTTCTGGCCAAACTATGAATCAAATAGAATGAAATGCAAACACAGTGTGGATGAAAAGGATGTTTTCATAAGAAGTGTAAATTATTCTCACCATAATTAGAATCATGCATGATTAGAGTCCTCTGCTGTTTCACCTAAAACAAGCAAACACGGGGGTAAACCTAAATCAATATTAATTCATTCATTCACTAATGTGATCGTTCATGTCAGAGAATGGCTGCAGAGTAATTTTCACAGGAGAGAAACAGAATTTATCAAACTGCTATAAACTGCCATCAGGCTCAACAGTGACACTGGGCCCTGTGTTCACTCTGCCATCTCTCTCCATATTTGCATGTCTATGAGCCCTTTGTGTGTGTGTGGGGTTGTGGGTTAAAACTGCATTTATAAAAATGAGTGTAAAAAGAATTTCCCCCCTTGAGGGATCAATAAAGTATCTCTTCTTCTTCTTCTTCAGTAAATACCTTGTATACAGGAACAGTGACCTCTGCTGGATAAACTCTACCAAGTCACGTTATGGCTGAAAAGAACTCACTCTAATTTGCCAATTTATTAGGTACACCTAACTAAAACCAATGCAGTCTAACAACTTACAGTTATACTCTATTTAAACTGTTTGAGGAAGTTGTTGACTTGATAGTTGATAGTTACAGGTATTTCTAAATGTCATGGACAAAATATTAGGAACATCTCCCAATGCAATGCAACTGTTTAAAAGGGGTCGAACCAACCAATTAACATTCCACAATAAAGTTTATAAAGTTAAAGTTGCTGGTGCATGAGTCTTCCTTGGGTTTTGTATTTTACAGAAACCTACTGTCTTTTGCCATCCATTGGTCGAACTCTTCCATTTCCAGCTCCAGTACAGAGGGGACGTCTTCTTCAAACATGGGCCTAAAAAAATAAAATTCGAAGGAGTCAGTGAAACTAGGTCAACTAACATGGTTACGTTTTTTTGACACCAGCAGCAACTGTAAACAGGCCAATATGTAAAATTATTCAAACTTACATTGGCACCTTCTCTGTGCTGGATCCATCCAGATATGGATCTTCCTTTCTGAGCTCTGTGAGCAGAGAACATGTTTCAGTCACTGTTAAAATTTCCAAAAGCTAATTACTATATTAAAACTATTGTATCAATAACAGATATTCAATAGCTGAGGTTTCTTTTTTAATATTAGTTTTAAAAAACTAAAAGTATTTTCCACCTTACCATACTAATATAACAGGTTTTGAGTTGTATGGTAATTAGATCCTTAAAGGCATTAACGGAAGATCTGACATTTGATAGTATAATACACACACGCCATTATATTTGCGGTTGAGAAGTTTTCAAGGAATTACATTCACTGCCACTTAAATATCTACGAAACCAAAACAATATGCATCCATATTTTTCTGATTTGGGTGAACTGACCCTTTAAATGATCCCACACACACACCTTGGTTTCTCTTTTTGCTGTTCCACTTGCGGCTGATGAAAATCCCACAAACTATCACGCCGATGATCACGACCACCAGCACCACGAGGACGGCGATGATGATGGGACCCAGATTTTCTGCGTCGTCTCCTGGTGTGGGATCCTCTGTGATGCCGGAGAGCTCTATACCTGCCAATGTGCTTTCTGCAGGGGAAACACAGCGGTGATCAGTCAGTCATCATCAACCCAGCCAGGATTTCATGGAAAATGTTTTCATAAAGCTCCTTTCTAGTCTGGATGACGCCTCAAAGCTCTTTACATTACAGTACTTCCTGCAGAATCAAAGGCCGTCCCCCTTTCTTGTGATGTGTGAAAATCATTTTAACATTTACAGGGAATCTGTGTGTCTGTGCTTGTGCGTCAGGCTATGTTCATGTTCATCTGACATACCGTCAAACTGGTTGTGATCGGTTCCTGAGCCATCATTGTATATGTCCTCTGTAACTGGAAATAACAACATTTGAAAAAATTTAATTATTTTATTGAACGTTTTCAGTTAGTACTGACTGACGTCCATGAGTTTTATTCATTATTTAAATGTTATCTTATATTTTTACTTATCTGTACTGTAAGACGCATGTATTCGCCTGTTAAATATACACTTCCTGAGGGTAGATGGACCCTTACAGAAAAAGTCTGGCACTCAGTAGAGCACATATCTCCACCACACCCAACAGTCCCCTTGAATTTAGTCAAGCGGCACCAAATTGCACGCACTCATAGATACAGAACAGACCACAGGTCATAATAAAAGACGTTTGAATAAAAAGGGTGAAAATGTTGAGTAGTAGTATGGAGGTTCCTCCTTGACACATACTACATCCACAATTTCCTGAAAATCTGTTCGGTTGTTTTTGTGGAATCTAACTCACAAACACACAAAGAAACAGACAGAGGTGAAAAACATAATCTCTCTGGTGGAGGGAATAAAAACGTGTTGTGGACTCACCTTGATCATCTGTGGATGAAGGGTCTGGTGCTGGAGGTGCATCAGAATCCACGGGAATCTCTGCGAACACGGAGAAGCAGATCATCACGATTCAAAGTTTATGGATTTAAATCTGGAAAATATCTGATCTCAGAATAAGTCAACAGACCTCAGGCTCTGACCAAGTGTTTGGTAACAACGGGTAATGATATTTTTACATCATAAGTTCTCAAAACATATTTCAGCAAGTATCAAGGGATTTACGTTTTATTTCCCAGCACTAGAAAAGAGTGAGTATTTCTCCGTCTTCAGAAAAGCATTTTGACTTCTTTCCTTCTGGTGGTGGTGGTGGTGGTGGGGGGGGGGGTTATAAATGAACAGTTGACAGGATATAAAAAACCCATGAAAAATCTGAATGACGAATCCCCCACTGGGACTCATGAATACAGTGTTTGTAAAACTCGGGCCACAGCCCTGTGGCTCTGAGCGAGTCAGGCATGTCTCTTTATGGATCTCACTGTGAAAATGACGGCACTGCCATGTTGAAACAAGAACATGTCTTATCTTCACTATCTCATGTTGAAAAATAGAACAGAATATCATTGCTGTTTACGTGCAGTTTTCATTTTCCATAATTCATCTGTGTTTGTTTGTTCCTCTAAATATCTGTCTGTTCTGTGTTTTTAATGTATTTACTGTAACAGTGCTTTTCATTCTGCCCTGTTCCCTCCCAGCTTCTACATTTTCGATGAAACTGGAACAAGGGTACCACATACCTAACCCATTAATATTCTGATTTCATTTATATACATTGTGATGCACGTGTCACCTGTGGTCTCTGTGGTAACAGTCGGTTCCAAGTCTTCTGTGTGCTCTTCTGGTGCGTTGGCCTCCAGTCCTGCATCGTCATCTTCTGTTTGACACAAAGCTGCAATGCAACGCCTCTCATTACTTTAGATCCCATCACTGTGAAGGGCGGTGAAACTTACAGGAGAAGATTGAAGGCTGAATATTTTAAAAGGTGAAACACACAGTAACTATTGTATTGTTATTTTGAAAGAGGTTCCATCTGCCTGCTTTTTAAAAAACTACAGCGGAGGACAGGAACTCTCAGATCACACAGGAACTTCAGACTTCCGTCTGCATGATTTCAAACAGTTGCAACAAAAATCAGAACGGCTGCAATATTCAACCGTTCGCAGTGGATCGAAAAGAGGAGGTGGAGATATTCAACATGTTGAGCAATCGTTTTGTGATGGTTCTCTTGCTTAAGAAAAGATAGTAGATTCAAAACGAGGAAAAAGATGAATACAAGTAATCAGTTTTTAGATTTTAAGGTTTAAACTGAAATAGAGGAAAGTTTTAGCTTCTTAAGAGGTTTGATAACAAGTGGATTGAAGTAAGTTTAAACTGAACAGGAAGAAAAGCGTTGAGTGATTTGATTGTTCCAGCCTTGTTGCTCAATCTTTCAGCTTCCGCTGTCATCAAAACTTCAGAAAAAACTTCTAAACCAAACATGTTTTCAGTCGAGATGTTAAACTCACAGGAACCAAGTCAGAAAACCTGACGAAAGCAGCGAGGAGGTGAGAAGGTGGCGAGCTGTTTTAATCCAGAAGGTAAAGAAAGTAAGAAAATCTTACCTGTCCCAGTCAGAGAGATCAATACCAGCAGCAGCAGCAGGAGGAGAGGGGTCTTCACCCGGGGGCCTCTCATGTTAGCAGGCCGAGAGGCAGACATAGTGCCATCGTGCGCCTGCTGCCTTCTGTAATGTCACTGCATCACACTTCCTGATTCGACTTAACATGTTAAATGGAAGTAGAAGAAAAAAAAAAAACACCCTCACTCACACACACACACGTACACACACCCTCAGACTCACACAGATAACTCACTCGGATGTGATGCAATCGACTTTGTGCTTGTAGCCACAAGTCTGACGACTCCTCAGCTGCAGCACAATCACATTCCTGCCGGTGAGGTATGCAGCCCGACAGAGCGAGGGACAAGCTGAACAAACTTAAAGGAAGAAGAAGAAAAAAAACAAAAAACAATTTGCATGAGTTCAGCCAGAGCCAGCTGCTCTGCTCTGTCTGTCTCTGGAGAAAATGTTTTTTGTGTGTCTGGCTGATGCTTAAAATAAATCCAAGGCTGTAGAAGTGTTTGATGATCTGTGTCTGTTGCTCGACTCAGGCTGGATCCTACTGTAAGTCAGTGAGTGTGTGTGTGTGTGTG